AAAAAAAAAAAAAAAAAAACCACACCTGTATATCCTGCTTGATCCAGGAAGTTACATGGAAGACTTCTCTACAGATAGACAACAGCTGTACCAGGTTATTCACTACAGCTTTATTTGCAATAGTAAAATATTAGAAACAACGTAAAAACCCATGAGATTGGTTGAATAAATTATGGTCCTCCAGTCATGAAGTGAGTCAAATGCAGTAATTAAAATATAATAATAATAATAATAATAATAATAATAATAATAATAATAATAATGGAAGGTCTCCATGTAGCAGCATAGAGTGATTTCCAGGGCATATTGTTAAGTAAAAAACCAAACAACAAACCAAGCCAATTAAACAAACAAACCAAAAACCCAAGGAATCAGAGTGTGTATTGTGTTCTATTTTTTATGTAAAAAAGAGAAATATTTACTTATTTTTGTGAAAAGAAACAGAATAAACCAAAACTAATGAAAATGATTACCTCTAGTGTGGGTGTGAATAGGGTAGAAGGGATGAGGATGGAAAGGAGACTTCCTTCAATTTACTTTTTATATAGATTTAAAATGTGAACCATGGAAATGTTGTACATATTCCAACAATACAAATAAATTAAAAAGAATGAAAAAAGCGAACTCTGAAACTAAGTGCAGACAAGTGAATCTATCCACATATTAAATTGTTAGCATAACCATACAGAAAAGGGAATTAATTCTAGTTACTTTTGCTCACAATATTCTGACTGTATACCCTATGTGAGATATATTCTAAGGCTGTAATGTTTAATACAGTAGCCACGAGCCACATGTGAGTATTTATTTAAATACTTAAAATGAAAATACCTAAGTAAACCAAAATGCTGATATAAAATTAGAAGTTCGGTTTCTCAGTCGTAGTTGTCGTATCGCTCAGCGGCCACATGTGGCTACCACATTGGGCAGCACAGTTGTTGAACATTTCCATAAATGCTGTAAGTGCTTTTAGACTATTCTGAGGATAAAAAGAACTGCAGATGAATCTTGACTTTTACTGAAGTTTGTGATAGGTAGCAGTGGTTGTTTAGCAATTTTGAAATATTTTTTAATAATAGAGGACAGGACAAATAAATAAATGTATTAATGTTCTTGGGAAATAAATTATCACTGAGGGAGAAGGGAGGTACAAATACAGAATGAGAGAAGATGAGGAAAATCTTGCAGAGTTAGATTTTAATTGGAACAATCAGTATCGACTGATGGCTGTAAGTGACACCCCAGAAGCAATGAGCCCCAACCGCCCAGATCTTGGTTTCTAAATACCATTCCCTGCCAAGAGGAATCTGAGTTCTTTGGAGAAATTGCTGAGCCGAGACCTGGGGTAGGGAAAGTAGTGGCAGAAGGAAGAAGGTGCTCAAGGACTGATGGGAACATGTCAAAAGGACACAGGCGTGTTTGGGGCTCCCAGTGCACAAGTTTGGGATAAATTGAGACAATGAAGATAGTGATGGTGATGGTTTAGAACACAGGGTAAAAAGAATCCATAGTGATACAGAGAGCGGGGTGTGGGGGAGAGGGAGGAGGGGTGGGAGGGGAAAAGGACAAGCTCTGTCTTATAGTAGAATGCCAGCTAATAAACGTAGAAGGAAAAATAGAGTTAGAAAATCACCATTTTGCAACCCCCAATTTTAAAAATTGACTGGGGCACCTGGGTGGTTCAGTCGGTTAAGTGTCTGACTCCTGATTTTAGCTCAGGTCATGATCTCAGGGTCGTGAGATCCAGTCCCACGTCCAGCACTGTGCTGGGCATGGGAGGCTGCTTGGGATTCTCTCTCTCTCCCTCTGCCTCTGTCCCCCCCCCTTAAAAAAAAAGAATTGATTTAGGCAGGAGTCATAAATGAATGCTAATTCATCAGAGAAAGATTGTTGGGGGAACAGAATAGTCACAGGGTCTCAAGGCATGGAAAAGACACACGATTGCTTATGTAGACCTCTTGCCAAAATGATTAACCTGAGTCTAATCATGGGGAAACAATCAGGAAAATCCAGTCTCGGGGCATTTTACAAACGACTTGCCTGAACTCAAAAATGTCCTGAAAGACCAAAAGTTACTGGAATCTGGTCTAGATTAAAGGGGAATAAAACAATGTGACAACCAAATGTAACACATGGTCCTTGATGAGATTGTCCATCGGGGAAAAAACAAAAACGAATCTATAAGGGGGATATTTTTGGGACAACAGTGAACATTTAAATAGAGACTGTATATTAGATGATATTCTATCAGTGTGTCAATGTTGAACTTCCTGCGTGTGATGATGGTATTGTAGTTTATGTGACAGACCTCCTATTTGTTTTTAGGGATGTATGCTGAACTACTCTGGGGTGAGGTGACTTATTTTTCAAATGACTCAGAGAGAAAAGTCTTCATGTATAGCCCTGAAATGGCACTCCTTACTTCCTGACCCAGCTAACATGACTCTCCCTGCTGGGCTGGTCCCTGGTGAAAGCTGCCTTTCCCTTTTTTCAGAGCACCTTGTCAGGAGCCCAGGGTCAGTGAAGCAACAAGTAGGTACAGGGCCCTCTTCTGGTACCGTGGGCAGTTGACCCTTGAACAACATGGGTTTGAACCGTGTGAGTTCACGTATGTGTGGATTTTTCTCAATAAAGTTCAGTGCTGCAAATATGTTTCTCTCCCTTATGATTTTCTTAACATTTTCTTTTCCCTAGCTTACTTTATTGTAAGAATACAGTATATAATCATATAACATAGAAGATACGGTTAACCAACTTTTTATGTTATCCATAAGGCTTCCAGTCAACAGTAGGCTACTAGTAATGACATTTTCGTGGAGTCAAAATTTACATATGGATTTTTGACAGTGCAGGGTTGGTGCGTCTAACCCTTGTGCAGGTCAAGGGTCAATTGTACTGATTTCTTGTCCCCTCCCTACCTGGGAGCACTGACCTGAAGGTCTGGAGACCCAAGTTCGGGTCCCTGTGACCTTGAGCAAGTTGCTCCACTTCCCTGGCTTCCTCATCCTGGGCTGCAGGATGTCCAAGACCATGCCATCAGGTGGGAGAAGTTGTCTTTGAACTCACATGCTTATAAGGTCCTGGGGGGCTGGGGACAGCTTGATAATTTTAATGACCCTTTGTGACAAAAGGATGGGAATGCAGGTTTGTCCTTTCTATTCTCCCTTCTGGAAACTGGGTCCTAATCATCGTTTGGAGGGAGAAAGGGAGAAGCAAGGTGTGTTTGCGTGTATGTGAGTGTGCTTGAGTCTGGGTGAGTGAGGATCTGAAGCTGGTATCAGAAGCAATGCTGAGGGTGGGGTCTGAAGTCAGGATCTGAGCGGGTAGGGGACAGTGTATGGTACCCCAGGGTTCTTGGGGAGCCTCAGGTGTCACCTGTTCCACCCCCACCAGGCCCACGAGCGGCTGGAGGAGACCAAGCTGGAGGCTGTGCGTGACAACAACCTGGAGCTGGTGCAGGAGATCCTCCGGGACCTGGCCCAGCTGGCCGAGCAGAGCAGCACCGCGGCGGAGCTGGCCCGCATCCTCCAGGAGCCCCACTTCCAGGTTCTGGCCCTGGGCTGGGGTGGGGGCTGGGGCAGGCCACTGGGAGGGTGGCTGGCAGGACGTTAGCGCCGGGATGGGAAGAGACCATGGGACACTGTCTCATGGTCCCTCCTCTTTCCACTACCGCCCCAGTCCCTCCTGGAGACACACGACTCTGTGGCCTCAAAGACCTATGAGACACCACCCCCCAGCCCTGGCCTGGACCCCACCTTCAGCAACCAGCCGGTGCCTCCCGACGCAGTGCGCATGGTGGGCATCCGCAAGACTGCTGGAGAGTATCTGGTGAGGCCGCCAGGCAGAGCTGGGGGTGGGATCTGGAGGGGGCGTTGAGAATAACCAGCGCGGACCAAATCTGGTCAGGAGAGGGCTGAGGACGAAGATGGGACCCGCTTTGCCCCGGGACGGGCCCATGCAGCCCCAGGAGAGCACAGGCACTGTGCATCTGAGCTGCACGCAGACTGTGCCAGGAGGCTGGGAATGGAGGGTCTCTTAGGAGACCCATTTGAAGATTCTGGCTTGGAGCAGCTGGGCCCTCATCATACCCGCCCTCTATCCCCCCAGGGCGTGACGTTCCGTGTGGAGGGCGGCGAGCTGGTGATCGCGCGCATTCTGCACGGGGGCATGGTGGCTCAGCAAGGCCTGCTGCACGTGGGCGACATCATCAAGGAGGTGAACGGGCAGCCGGTGGGCAGTGACCCCCGCGCGCTGCAGGAGCTCCTGCGCAGTGCCAGCGGCAGCGTCATCCTCAAGATCCTGCCCAGCTACCAGGAGCCCCATCTGCCCCGCCAGGTGGGTCCCTCCGCCAAGCTTCCCCCGCACTCCCAGCCCGAGGCCCAAGGAGCCGCCGCCGGGGTGACAGGCCCGCGGTAGGAGTCCCCCATCTCCCGCATGCTCGTGCATTGGACCTAGTCGTGGGCACTCATACACATGTGCAAGGGACATGCGCACATTTAAGGCCTGGGGTACCCCAATGAGCGCCCGTATCCACGCAGCCCCCGGCCTGCCTACGTGTACTGGGTGTGCGCATGCGCAACTCGGCTTGCCGCGTGTCCTCCAGCAATCTGAGTCCTTTTGTTCTAGATGCAAAGGGAGGCTGGTACCAGGGAGGCGGCTGGGCGGGTCTGGGGGCAGCGTGCCTCGAGAGGGGCATGCCCGAGCCTCTTGCATCTTTGTGAGGGTAGGGGGAAGACGGTGGCCTGTGTGACATCCCCCCCCACCCTCAGGAGGGGGAAGTGGGTTGGGGGCTGCTCTGAGAAGGGTACTGCCCTCCAGCCTTCCCTTCTTCCCTTGACCCTTTGTGATCCCCGGGCCAGGTGTTTGTGAAATGCCACTTTGACTATGACCCTGCAAGAGACAGCCTTATCCCCTGCAAGGAAGCGGGCCTGCGCTTCAACGCGGGGGACTTACTGCAGATTGTAAACCAGGACGACGCTAACTGGTGGCAGGTGAGCAATCGGTGTGTGCCTCCAGGTGTGGTGTGGGGGAGGCGAGGGCCTGGCATTCTCACTCAGGCATTCACCCCTCAACTGCTGCCCGTTTCAGGCATGCCATGTGGAAGGGGGCAGCGCTGGGCTCATCCCCAGCCAGCTGCTGGAGGAGAAGCGGAAAGCCTTTGTCAAACGGGATCTGGAGCTGACACCCACCTCAGGTATGAGGGCCCCCCCGATGGAACCCCTAATCTGGGATCCGACGCAAGCCTGCCGGGCCTCACTCGCCCATCTCTCTGTGGCCAGGGACCCTGTGTGGCAGTCTTTCAGGAAAGAAAAAGAAGCGAATGATGTACTTGACTACCAAGAATGCAGGTGGGTGTTGGAGGCCCCCTCCTTGTCCTCTAACACGGCAAGCCCCCTCCCTCCAGCCGCCAGTGACTTGTGCACATGTTCTCCCAGTGCTGATGCTGCAGTCTTGTCCCTAGGCCCTGCCTACTCTCTCTCTGCTGTCCCTGGCCCCAGCCCTCTTATCCTTGGCCCCCGGCCCCACCCGTGCCACTTGAGTAGCCTGATGAGTACCCTCTCCCTGTGTTCAGAGTTTGACCGCCATGAGCTGCTCATTTATGAGGAGGTGGCCCGCATGCCTCCCTTCCGCCGGAAAACCCTGGTGCTAATCGGAGCCCAGGGTGTGGGCCGGCGCAGCCTGAAGAACAAGCTCATCATGTGGGATCCAGATCGATACGGCACCACAGTGCCCTGTGAGTGGGAGCCAGGCCCTGCTGGGTGGGGAGCCAGGAGCCGGGGCTGCCCTGGGGGCCAGGGCCGCGTCCGATGAGTGGGCATCTGCATGGGCATCAAGTCAAGTGGTACTTTTGGGGGACGTGTGGGGGTGCGCCCTCTGTGGCTGATGGGGGAACTGCAGGCTGGAGAGGGTTTGGGAAGCTGTCCTTTGAACCCGTGGCCTGGGTGGGCTGGACAAGCCTTGCCTCGCCTTCTCTCATGTTTCACTTGCTAAAAACCCAGCTGGGAGCCCATGTGAAACAGGGCCGCGTGTGGTGACAGAACCAGCAGGGCTGGTGAGAGCTCCTGGCTCCTGGAGGCAGGAACCTGAGGGCTGACCCCAGATCCGCTTGACCTTGGTGGGTGGCTTTGGTGTGCACATCGCCCTCTCTGGGCCTCAGCACCCCCATCTGTGAGCGCTGGGCTGGCACGGTGAACTCTGAAGGCTCCCTCAATATGGACGCCCAGGATCCGTGTGTGTCAGTGGTGAGGGCGAGGGCATGGAGCGAGGGAAGGCAGCAGTGCTTTGACAGTGGAGAGGGGCTGCGCGGCCCCTGTAGGACACGTGCACGCGTGTCAGAGGTGGGACACGGCCTGCCTGTGCTCAGTCAGCCCCTCCTTCCCCCTAGACACGTCCCGGCGGCCCAAGGACTCGGAGCGGGAAGGCCAGGGCTATAGCTTTGTGTCCCGCGGGGAGATGGAGGCCGACATCCGCGCGGGGCGCTACCTGGAACATGGCGAATACGAGGGCAACCTGTATGGGACCCGTATCGACTCCATCCGGGGTGTGGTCGCCGCCGGCAAGGTGTGCGTGCTGGATGTCAACCCCCAGGTACCGCCCCAGCCTGCTTGTTCCCAGGCTGCCCATATCCCCTCTGGGCACTCTGCTGCCCCCCCCCCCATATATTTCCAGGCACTGGTCTCCCAAGCAGCCCCCATATAACCCCTCAACTACTGCTAGGGACCCAACCCACCTTTTTCTCAGCCTGCCAGACGTCCCACTCCTCTAGCCACCTCCAGTGTCCCAATCCCCAGCCACCTACCAGCTATCCCTCCACCATTCATCCCCAGGACTCAGGTCCCGGGACCCTAGGTACCATTTCCCCATCATTTCCAAGTACCTGTCCCCCCAGCTATCCTTCCCCCAGCTTCTAGGATGTCCGTGGGGGATAGACTCCCCCATCCCCTTTTCTTCCTGCAGGCAGTGAAAGTGCTGAGAACAGCTGAGTTTGTCCCTTATGTGGTGTTCATCGAGGCCCCTGACTTTGAGACCCTGCGGGCCATGAACCGGGCTGCCCTGGAGAGTGGGGTGTCCACCAAGCAGCTCACGGTGAGGGCTCTGACATGCAGTGGAAGGGTTCTGGTGGCTGCCTGGGAGAGAGGGCAGGCTGGGGCCGATGAGGGGAAGAAGGTGGTGTTGGGGAAGGGGAGAGGGGCCCACCCAAGGTATCAGTGAGGTTGGACTTGTGATTCCTGCTTTATAGGTGTGGAAACAGAGGTCTGGGCAAGGAAGTGAAGTGCCCAAAGTCTCACAGAGTCAGGGATACGGCTAGCCTGGGGTGCAGGAGCTTTTGCCAGGCCCACAGCTCCGTCCATTCTGGGGGGACAGAGTGCTTACCAAAGGGAGTCCAGAGGGCCAGAGGGAGATCTGTGGGCAGAATGGGCCAGGTGGGCTGAGGGCGTTTACAGCTGGAGGGAAAGGCTGAAGGGAAGGAGGAAGCTGGAGGCTGGAAGGCTGGCTGGAGGGAGGAGGCAGCGCTTGGAGAAGAGGCTTCAAGTCAGGTGTTCCAGGACCCCAGGGCACCTACCTCCCCACCAGGTACACCAGGAGCAGCCTTCTCCAGGAGAGGTAGGGTTTGCAGAACTCTGAGCTCGGGGGTCCATCTGCTGGCTACACTTGGTACTGCAGTTCTCAGGCCCCAGGTCAGAGCCGCGCTCAGACCGCGGAAAGGCTGCCTGGGCTGGGCTTCCCGTTGAAGTCCCCTGGTCACAAACATAGCCAGCTGGGGCCACTGGGCACATAGTGGGGCCAGCCCTAGAACTTCCACCTTGAACTTATTTAAGTCAGTATTCAAAGTTCCCTTCTCACCCCTGCCTGGCCGGCTGGCCAGCTTTCAGTAGGTAGGGGTGGCGGTTGCCGGGGGCACCCGGGATTGCCCTCCTGACGGCATGCTCGGGAGGTGCATCTCAGACTGCGGAGGTAAGGGCGCCTGGTCAGAGTGGAGGGAGCACTGACTTTGGAGTCAGGCAGACCCTGTGCAGCCGCTGGCCGGGCGACCTCTCTGTACCTGTTTTCTCTATTGGAAACGGGGAATAATGAGTCCCGCCTTGCAGAGCCGTAGCGAAGATTACGTGGGTGGCAAAGCAGTTAGTGCCCTGCTTGGCACTCACTAAAGTTTATTTCCTTCCTTCCTTCTTTCACCCATGTGTCTGTCCAGGGTTGCGGGTGAGCCTGTACCTGATGGAGTGAGGGAGTCTGTACCTGACATGGCTGGGCTCTGGGGAGGGGGATAGATGGGGGGCTGCAGATTCCCCCTGATGATGGGGGTGATGGGGGGGACACTGATGGCCGGGAGGTCCCCTTGTGCCGGCAGGAGGCCGACCTGAGGAGGACCGTGGAGGAGAGCAGCCGCATCCAGAGGGGCTACGGGCACTACTTTGACCTCAGCCTGGTCAACACCAACCTGGAGAGGACCTTTCGTGAGCTCCAGGCTGCCATGGAGAAGCTGCGGACGGAGCCCCAGTGGGTGCCCGTCAGCTGGGTGTACTGAGACTGTTCATGTGGACCGCACCCCTCTGGGCTGTGACCCAGAACCCTGAATCCATCCCCTCCCCTGGCCATGACCCCTAGCCCTGATCCTTAGCTCTCATCCCTGGCCGTCTGGCTCTCCCTGGGTGAGGACGGCTCCTAGCGGGCCCTAATCTGGCTTCAGCACAGGTGTGTGCACTGCCGAGGAGGTGGGTGTTCATGGGGCACCTCTGTGCCCAGGTGCTGCCCACTCCCGATGCCCACTGGCCACCAGATGTCCCTCTCTGAGGGCCAGGCTGTGCCCAGGAGTGTGTCAGAGTCACCTCCGTAATGCTCAGTCCAGAGAAGAGGAAAGCTGCTCTGGGGCCCTGTGGCCAGTAGGCACACTGCCCCCTGCCACCTCTCTCCAGCCGCCTTTCTCCCGTGGACTGGCCACGCCCACTCCATTCCGGGGCTCCTCCCACCTCTCACCCCTGGGGCCCTCCTGAAGGCTGGGGGAGCCAAAGCTTGAGCCAGCTGCCGCCGCCAGGGGGCAGTGCGGTCCAGCTTCCCTTGGAATGAGGCGGAGTCCCGCAAGTGGACCCCGCTCTGTCCTTCCCTCACGCACAGCTTTTCACTGCCGAAGTCTCTCCACGGACTTCTCTGATGTGCCCGTGACAGGACCGCTCAGCTCCCCGCAGGGCAGGGCCGGCCGGGGTCGGCGGGCTCAGCGCAGGGAGGGGTGAGCTGAAGGCTGAGCCGTGTGACGGGGAGCCTGCGACTACTGACCATGGCCCCTGGGGCGGGGGGTGGGGGGGGCACGTCTGGGCTCCCTGTTGGTGACCACGGTCCAGCTTGGTCTCTCTGGCGGGGTCCAGGTGGCCCACTCGCATCAGGTCTGCCTGGGGGGCTGAGGATGGGTGCAGAGAGGAGCCTGTGAGCCGGCCATGGAGCAGGGGCTTGGCAGAGGACATCTATGCTCTAGCCGGCTCCCTGTTGTACAACTCCAGGGGGCGCCATCCACACTGTTTCTGCCTGCGCAGCTTAGGGTCCGCAGGCTGGGGCACCTGGTCTGTGTTTGTACCGTTGGTGTGTGTGTGTCAGTCTTGGTTTTGGGAGAAGAGAAGCAAAGGGTTGTTTTGCTTTGGAGGTCACTATTTGGGGCCCTTTTTGGGGGGTTCCCCATTAGTCCCCATTTCTTATGAGACCCTTATCCCAGATTCCAGAGCCTTGACCCTCCCCCGATGTCTTTCTCCCCATCTCCTAGTGTCCCCCTATCCTATATGACACCGTCGAGTCCTCGAGTCCTCGGGGAGGGCAATTGTGTAAGATAGGAGAATCCCTTTTAAGAATGCCGTCGTAGACTTCCCCAGGCATCTGGCCCTCGTCCCTCTGTGTGATCTTGTCTGGGGTGAAGCTGTTCTTGCAGGGACCACCCCATCGCCCCCAGCACCAGCCAGCCCCTGTCCTTCCCAGATCTCTGAGTGTCTGATCAGTCTTCGCTGCAGGTTCAGCCCGAGCTGGCCCCTGAACCACTGTGTGCCCATTTCCTAGGGAAGGGGAGGGAGAAGAAACAGAGTATTTATTACAAAGTTAGAAATATATTTATTATATTAGGGATCTCATTTGCATTGGCCTAGGATATGCAAATGAGATGTTAAGGTCAAGCCTGCTCCCATCTCATTTGCATAGCTCTGCATCCACTATGCAGTCACCTTTATACCCCTCTTTTCCCTTTCCTCAGTGTTCTTTTTATCCTCAATCCAGCACTTCCTTGCATCACCCTTACGACAGCCCAGGGGGCCCAGGAGTGGGAGGAAGAGCTGCTCTCCTGCTGCCCAAGGCAATGGTTTCCTTTGCCAGTTCCCACCTCACCTGGGGCACTTGGGAGTAGAAGCAGTGAGGATCTGCAGGTGCAGCCCCCTACCCTTGGTTAACCTCCAAAATCTCCTGAAGGAAAGAGCATCCCCTGATGGAGGTGGAGGGAGCCTGGCTTAGGGTGCTGGGTACCTTGCCGAGGAGTTGGCACCTGACCCTGTGGGGTAGATCTCCCGTGTGGATGCTGTTCCGGCACCTTCACCTCTAGTGATGCCTGGGGGGCAGGGCTGGGACCCTCCTCTCCTGTCTTCATCCCTTCAACTGCGTCCTACCTCCCCTACACAAGCCCCACTCACTCCCTGGCCCAGGGCTGGGTTGGAAGGGGTGTGTGCCCACCACATTACCTCTCTGACCCTATCCTCCTTCCCTGGATGCTTGTATTTGAGGCACCTCGGGATAATGAGGACTCGGCCCCCCACTGTCCACGCTCAGTGCCGGCCCTGTTGCCCTTCCCCTCTCCCCTCCCTCAGCCAATTCTTGAGCTTTTGCTCTGACTGGTTTTCTTTCTTTTCCTTTGATTAAATGTGAAAACAAAGGCTTCTGGGCTCTGTTGGTCTTTGGTTGGGGCCCAGTGGATGACTTTGGTACAGGGTGAGAGTGGGGAACCCAGCACAGATGATTCTGGAATGGAAGTCGGAGTGACTTGTCTTGTGTCCAGTGATGTCTTCCAAAATTTCCCATCCCACCATTCCACATGCCCAATCCCCAGAAGATGCTCATTCTAAGTGCTTGTATCCAGGAGTCTGTGAGCATTCGTGGGGGCCAAGGGGATTCAGAGACTCCAAGGCTAATCCACTCCACTTCACCCAGAACTTGCTGTGTGGCCTTCAGCAGGTCCCTGTACTGCTTAGGTTCATCCTCTATAAAAATGTCATGGACTCTCCCGGTGCTAATGCTGGGATTGGTTCTAGGCGTTCAACAATACATGCCATAGAGAGCTCATTGAAATGTCACCCAGATGTCACCATTGGGGTGTGTGTGTCAAATCCTTCATGGGTAAGGCATCAGCCTTCTTTCCCACTTTGAATTCTTCAGGGGACCCCAGAATGTTCACTGAGGATTCTCAGCAGGGGGCTTTAGCTCTTCCCTTCTCCCTGCAACAACCAAATAAGGAACTGGCTTTCTTCCTTTGATTTCCCCCAAAGCATCCATTCCCACAGGGACGAGTGTGGGGCAGACTTCACCGGTGATTTGGAGACAGCGTAAGGACTTATGTCTCCCACCTAACAGGTCTGATGAGAATTTAGCATTGAATATTAAATACCCCAACTCTGAAATATTCCCTGATCATTCCCAGCACATAGAATATTTTTCTGGTCAACCTTTCCCTTTGGGGTCCCCTGCTTCCCTCCGTGTTGCTGCACCCTCTTCCTCTCATCTTTTTTTTTTTTTTTTTTTTAAGTAGGCTCCACACCCAGCGTGGAGCCCAACGTGGGGCCTGAACTCATGACCCGGAGATCAAGACCTGAGCTGAGATCAAGAGTTGGTCACTGAACCAACTGAGCCACCCAGGTGCCCCTCTTCCTCTCATTTTTGAACCACCTTCTTCCCATCTCTGGGGTGTCCTTGGAAAAAGGAATATTTCATGACTATACCTAGCAACTCCACACTTGTATTTCTGTCTTAATCCAGTGGTTCTCAATCCTGGCTGCACTTTAGAATTGCCTGAGGGGTTAAAAAACAAACAAACGAAAAAACAATTGCCTGGATTCTACTCCAGATCAGTTAAATCAGAAGTTCTGGAAAGGCTGACTACTATAACTAACACAGTTGTTTATTATTGTTGTTATTGTTATTATTATTTTCAGATTTTTATTTTCGAGTAATCTCTACACCCAACATGGGGTTCGAACTCACAACTCCAAGATCAAGAGTCACATGCTCTTCAACTGAGCCAGCCGGGCACCACCCAACACAGTTTTACTATTAATTTCTTGCTCACATCATATCTGATGGGAATTGGGTTGCACTCCCAGCAGTGACTCAGGGTTCCAGCCTCTTTCCATTTTTGACACCACCATCTTTCAGAAAAGGCTCCACAGGTGTCATGGAAGAGGAGTAGAGTGTAGGAAATTGCTCATGGATATTATGGGCTAGGACAGTCGGCCCACATCCATTGGCCAGAATCGAGTCATGTGGCCCTGGATTATTGCAAAGGGGTCTGGGAAATGTAGTCTTCCTTGGTGCTCAGGAAGAGGAAACAGGATCTAGCCAACCTCTGCCAAGCCAGGAGTGGAGTCTGGGAAGCTATATGTTTTAAAAGTTTCCCACATGATTCTAATGTGTAGCCAAGTTTGCCAACCACTGCTCATCCATTTTCGTCATACCCTTGGGAGTGGAGGAACTCTCCTTTTAGCCCCAAATTAACATCAAGGTAGTTTCCTACTAAAGATATTTGAATTTCTAAGAGGAATTCTGCTACCAGTTTTGTTTTTTTTTTTAATTCCTTTTCCTTCCTGGCACAGTAGCATATGGTTAATAGGGCAGAATGGATTCTTATCATATTATAGTTGGGAAACTGACCTACAGAGGTGATGGGCTTTTGTCCAGTGTCACACAGAAAGTCATTGGCAGAGCTGGAACAGACCCCTGGACTCCTGGTTCTCAGGCTGGGGTTTTCTCCCTGTGTGCTGCCTCCCAAAGATGGAGGGGGATTGATAGGGTCTGGGGTGGGGCACACTTAGGGGAGGAAGGCACTGTTGGAGGAGGAACATGGGATAAGAAAGGGAACCATGAGGGGAAGTGTGGGCTACGTTGCCATCCCCAGATTCAACTGTTTGAGAGATCCAGGCATTCCAGGTGGTTGAGGGCATCAGCACCCTAAAGCTCACACAGCTCTGGCCCCTCCTCCCTCAGGACTGGGTTTGGGTGGTGACCCCACAGCTCTGGGAGAGACTGAGCAGGCTGTGCAAGGGAGCAGGGAGGACTATCTAGCTTGTCCCATTGATCTACTTATCTAATCTAATTGCTATTATCAAGGTTTTAATTATTTAGAAACCTCTATGTTTTACTATCTGGTGAAAAAAGTTTCCAATTACTCCTTTGATCAGGGATATTTTTTCTTAGTAATACTTTCTTATTTTTTCTAGAAAGAGAACTCTAGGATCATTTGGTCAGAGTACACCCTTTTCCTATGGGGATCCTAATTGGAATTGCATGAAATTGGAACATTAATTGGGGAGGATTCTTACTCTTCAGTCTTTTCCTGCAGGACCATAGTCTGTCTCCCCCGTACTCGGGTCTCCTTCCAGCCCAGGGCCCCCACCCACCTGTCTGCCAAGCAGCGCTGGTCAGACTGGCACGGTCTCCAGTCAGCAGCAGCCTGATACCAAGGAGAACACTGACTTTCTCATAAAACAAAATTCTTTCCTTTGAAAGGACTGCCCTTTATCCTGAGATTCTCCTCCCCAGCCCCTACTCTTTGGGGTTAAAATGGTCTTCTTTTTATAAAAGGGATGAGATATTTAAATTTTTTTGCTTGTTTCTAGATGTAGAAGTTGATAAAATATATTTTGAAAGTGTTACTGATCTGTGAAATCTCAAAGTTTGGGTTAAATCTCTCAGTGGGTTTAATTCCACAGATGCCCTGCCTTTTGAACAGGGTTTGAGTCTCAATGCGTAGGAGGTGAGACCACACATGTGTTGGCCCGAGAGTCCTTTTCGCAGAGAAGAAACAAGACCTGAAGAAGGCACAACACAGCCGAGATTGGCTTCGTAGATTCTCATTCCCTCCTGGTCTCTTGCCCCACTTTGGAGAGCACAGCTTCATTCTCTGCATTAAGTGAGTATGTGAAGACACACCTTAGCCCCCAGGTAAGCCAAAATAAGGGCCCTAGTCTATCCCAGCAATTTTAAGTGTCTTAAGTCTGGCCCAAAGCCAAAGTAGGCTGACAGACTAAGGGCGACGGGTGTTCCCTTACTAGCTTAAAAATTTGTGAATGGAAGATAGACGAGAATTAGGTGATCCGTGCCTTAAGCAGAAGCTCCAGTTCCCCGCCATCGCCTCACACATGCGCACACACACTCAGATGAGGATTCAGTAGTAGGCAAGCAAATTCAAGAACCAAAATACCAATAGTTTTTCAGTGTGTGACAAGCATTCATTCGTTTGCTTATCAAACATTACCTTATTTTTGAGAATTTACTCCAGCATCATCACCTCTTGGAAATGCTTTGTGACTCCTCCATGGGCTGATCTGATCAAGGAGCCTCTTCTTGGCGCTCCCGAAACAGCTTATCACAGCGTCCTGATGGGCACTGTCGTCCTCTCTGCCCCTCAGACTCTGGGCCTCTGGATGTAGGGACCGTGCCCCACTCAATGGTGCTCAGAAGATGGTGTTGAATTAATACTTAAGGTACCATGCCATTATTTTTTAAGTAACTGGATGATTTATTAGAAGACGTAATAGGAAAAAACAAAAAAAGACCCTGTTCACAATAGCAACCCCGGTACAAAACGCAAGGCATCTGTGTAATTAAACCCACTGAGAGATCTAGCCCCAGCTCATGGGAGCAGCCAGATGTCCTCAAAAAAGACCATGCTGGAGCCACAATGAGAACCAGATGTGGCAGGTGTGAGGCGTGAGTGTGCCCCTCTGACCATCATCCCCACCCAGGAAGGAGAAAGGGCCGTGTAGGCAGCATCTGGGTGTGGCTTATATTTGTCTTCCCTCTTTTTTCACTTTCACAAGTCTTGGCACAATGCCTGACAATTTCACAAATTATCTAAGTGTGTAGGTCCCACCCCACCCATTTTTTCAGGGTTTGGTCTTCCTTCCAGAAACAGATCTTCCTCTCTCTGCGGTTCCCCATAATCCTGCCCTCATACCATGTGGTAGAGATACCCAAGCACTGGTCTGTGGACCATCTCACCTGTGACAATATGAGGAAATTAAGAACAAAGCAGAAAGCTTATCATTAAGCTGAATATATTTAAGTTTAAGAATTATCATTTATTCTGATGTGGTGATTGTGAATTTTATTTTATCACATGCCAATTTAAGAAATACTCCCCCCTCCCCCCCCCCGCTTTTTCCTAACTTGAATCAGATCTTTCCCTGAGTCTCTACTCATTAGAGTAGAAAGAAATGAAATCTCAATCCTGTTTTGGAGGGCTTCCTCCTTTCCCCAGAGTTACACAAAGATGTAAGGGATACATAGTGCCTGTGAAATGGGAGTGAGAATCTGGTTCAGGCAGAGTGGTGATCAAGGTACCATGTGCTTTTAAACAATGGGATTGTACATAAAACAAGTTTTATTGTGTTGCTGAGCTTGTGGGAAGGGAAATATCCAAGAGGCATGGTGAGTGGACAGGAAAGGTGGAGTTACCCTAAAAGGCAAATGACAATATTAGCATCACATTTGGAAAATTAAATATAAAGCCAGGGGCAACCTGAGGTGTTGGTAAATTAGGGATCTGGGAAGGGGCTAATCTGGTCCCAAGTTGGTATCCTGGCCCCTGACAGAAACAAATGCAGATCCTCTGTGGAGGAAGGTATCCTCAATTTCAGCCCCCCAGATTGAAATCATCCAAACATGAGCTCACATTATGAGATCACAAAATAAAAAGGAACAAACCACTATGAGTGATAGTCAACATAAACAATAGCATATTTATATCTCCAGGGACTTTTGATATTAGGCACAAAATGTAAACTATGTGTGTATAAAATATTTAATGGAATAAAAGATGGCATTACAAAAATTAACAAGCGAAAAGACTCTAGAATGACTAGTTAGGTTTGAAAGAGAACCATTCAGAACTTTTCAAAATAAAAAATACAAGGATGAAAATAAAGACAAATTTTGGGGGGTTTAACAGCCAATTAAACACAACTGAATAGAGATTAGTGAACCAGAAAGTTGTTCCCCTAAGTATGGTGCTTGGACCCGCAGCATCATCAGCCCTGAGAGCTTCTTAGAAATGCAGACTCTCAGGCTCCCCCCAGAACTACTGAGTCAGAATCTGAAGTTTAACAAGATTCCTTGTGATTTGTAGGCATATTCAGATTTGAGAAGTATTAAACTGGTAGAAATGACATAGACTGCAGAACAAAGAGATGAGGAGGGAAATATGAAGGAGAGGTTAAGAGATATGGCAGTGATAAAGAGAGGGTCTAGAAAAATTTTATTCTGGTCAGTGGCAAGATTTTTAAAAGTGATGGAGAGCAGATAATATTTGAGGAGAATTTCCTAGAACCAATGAAAGGCATGAATTCACATATACAAGAATTTACAGCAAACAAGAAAACAAGTAGTTCATGGCCAGGGGCCAGTCAGGCCAGACTGCAGAATACTGAGACAAGTAGAGAAGTTTTATGTACAAACATAAAACTAAGGTGTTTCAAGATGGAGGGTTGCAAAGTGGCAACTGGTAAAGGAGTGGTCTTTCTCCCCTGCCTGGAGGGCGGGACTGGGCCCACACGGTGGCAGCAGCGGGCGTTAAGGGAGTGAGCAAATGTCTATGGAGGGTACTTGAGTATCTGATAAATCCGTGGAAACTCGGAATCCCAAGGATGCCAACCCTAGGTTGCCTTGGAGAGAGCTGGGCCTCTCAAAAGACATAGATCTGTTTAGTTGGCACAATGGTCTGCAAATGGGCAAGGGGTGGTAGTGGGATGACCTGGCTGACCACCCCTGGTCCCCAGGAAGCCCTGGTTGCAGCAGGTGACAGGTTGAGAGGACGTTCTTTCCCCACTGGGCAGCCCCAATTCTTACCACCTTCCAGCTGAGGGATTTTTCACAGGGTGAGATTTTGGGGTCTCTCTGACACCACCTGAAACTTGGTGTTCCCTACCTCCCCCAACATCTGGGCACACACTGTGCCCAGATCCTGGGCAGAGACCCCAGAGCTCACACCCAGGGCTCCCTCTCCACCTGGAGAAGGTAAGAGGAGTTCACCCAACCCTGGGGACCTGGGGCAGTGGCTGGCACCTTCTGGAGAGTTTCCCTTGGTATATCAGACCTGCTCTACCTTGCCCAGCCCCCTAGGTCCTCACTGCAGGGGCATTCCTTCGTGGCTCGTCCTGCCATACCCACAGCGACAGGTGTAGACGTTGGTGAGGACTTTGAGAAATGCTTCTGGGAAGGCCCTGGTGGGAGTGAAATTGCTTCTGTCATTTCAGAATGCTGTTCAGCAGTGGGTATTGGTAACGTCAAAAATGTTCGCACCCTATGACCTGGCACTTCCATGCACACAAATGCTTCTACAAGAAGTCTCCAAATGCAAATCAAGCCTTGTGGGAAGACTCACTATGCTGTTATTTATAATAGCAAAAATAGAAACAAATTATCTAATGAGAGAGAATTGAAATAAATGGAGGCACGCTGTGAGGAAATATCAGAGAGCTGATGCACATTGTATTTATAAACGTTGGTAAAACATGGAGAAATGTTTATAAGAATTAAGTGGGCAGGCGCCTGGCTGGCTCAGTCAGTGGAGCGTGCGACTCTTGATCTTGGGGTTGTGAGTTTGAGCACCACGTTGGGTGTCGAGATTACTTACAAATAGAAATCTTAAAAAAAAAAAAATTACGTGGAAAAAGCAGGATCTAAAGTTGTATATACAAACTAATTTGTCGGAGAACACCAGCAAATGATGTGGAGTAAAAAAACAGGAAGGAAATGCAACAAAACGCAGCTGTGATTATCTGGGGGAATGGTGAGCCTGAGTGAATTTTCTTCTCCTCCCCGCCATGTTTCTAACTTTTGTATACTGAGCAACCACCCATTTCACTTTTTAAAGAAAGTCAAAAAAGAAAAAAAATAGCAATCCTGTTATTCTACCCCCTCCTGCTTCCTGATCTCCAGGGGGCCAGACTCAGAGTCACCTTCAGGTTCCTCCTAGGTTCCTGCCCTGTCCTCTCTCTCCTGCCTTTTAGATGCCCACCCGCACCCTGTGCTTTCCTACCCCTCCCTAACCCCAACCCACAGGCAATTAACCCTTTCTCAACAGGGAAGGAGCCAAGCTTTTCTCCGGCCTCCTTCCAAAGCCTGGGATGCAGGGCTGGGTGGGGAGCTGGGAAATGTAACCCCTCCGTCAGTCCTGGGCTCACCCCTTTCCAATGCGCACCTGACCTGGGCCTGGACTCGGACCGGCCCAGGAAAGCCCCTAGCTGGGTCATGGTGTCTTAGGCAGAGAAGCCCCTATGGGGGGAGGGGCAGGTGGGAGACCCCACACACCAAATGCAGACTCTAACGTGGATGAACCTGAATCTACTGCTTCTCAAATTCAAGTATTAGAGTCATCGGACACTTGTTAGAAATGCAAAGCTGTGGGTCCAGCCCCAGAGAGGGTTTTGGTAGGTCTTGGTAGAGCCCAGGAGTCACATTTTTAACCAGCCTCCCGAAGGACTGGGATGCAGTCCCATTTTGAGAACTCAGAACCCCGTCTATTCCCAGCATGCTCCTCCTCCTCGCCCACTTATGCAGGAGAAAGTGGTGCTGAGTCAGGATGGAAGGAAGGGAGAAGAAGGTGGGGGTCTTTTGCTGGGCACCCGGCCGCAGAGGATTTCTTGTAACGGATACAAACTCAGACCAGATCTCCTGAGCCTTGCCTGGCTCTGGCGAGCTCCAGCTGCACGCCCTGCCCCAATGTGCACATACCGAGGAGGTCCCAGGGTCCCACTCATTCTGTGAGGCCACCACTGCAGGCCCCGGGGCTGACAAAGACTTCCGGGTCAGGCTGGGCATGCAGGAGGAGGGCCTGGGGATGGCAGGGGAGAGCCCGGAGTCTGGCAGGCAAGCTCTGAAGCTGTCGAGGAAAGCTTATGGGAGTTAGCGCAAATGCAGCCATTCAGATTCCCGGCCGGCCGGCCTGGAGGGCACCGCTAGACTGATATGAACTTTGAGAAGCTGAGCTCCTCCCCAGACATGTGGAGGGGAGGCCCTGGGATCATGTCCCCCTCCGGGTCCTGGGAAGGGGCTTCCTCTTCCTCTGAAGTCTGTAAAGACAAGAGTCAGGGGTTGAAAAGCAGAGCTCAGCCGCAGGGGGACTCCAGGTAGCTGTTGGGTCCACCCTAGCCTTTTCCACAGTTCTGGGCCTCTGTCCTTCTAAGGGGCACAGCCTAACAAGCTCTCCCCAGAACCCCCAGGCTTTGATTCATGCCCCTCACCTCCTCCCAAAACATCCCCCCACCCCATCTGCAAGAGCATCCTCAGGGTCAGGTTTTTGCCTGCAGGTGTTGGAATCCTGCCAGTCCAGAGCTCTTTAAACTGTGACTACCAACAAGCTATTCAAGAACTTTCTGGATCGGGGGAAAAAGGATGTAAGGTTGGGAGTCCTGACTCCCGAATGAAAAGGCCTGCCCCTTTGGCAATGGTCGCATAGGTGGGCGGAAGCAGGGGGCAGTGTTCAGGGAGCAGATGCTGAGGAAAGAGCCCCCCCACGCCACTTCCCTGCACTGTCAGAGAGAAGCCAGGCTAGGTGGCTCCAGGCGCAGCTCCCTCCAGCCCAGCCCCCGCACGCCCTCCGTTCACACCTGGCTGAGGCCCTGGGTCTCTGCGCACGGGCTGGGGCTGGCGTGGGGCCCAGGGGGCGCTTCGAGGTTGATCATGGTGTACTCCAGCGCCTGAAACAGAGACTCGGTCAGCACAGCCCACTCCCGGCAGCAGTGATGGGCCACCCGCCACAGCAAGAGAGGGGAGCCACGGGAGAGCGTGGGCAGGCTGTGGGGTCAGAGCCCTTCCGTCCTCTTTCCTACATCTCAGAGGGACCTTGGGCACGCCACTAAGCTCTCTGAGCCTCAGTCTCCTCAGCTGTCAAGTGGGCGTAAGAATTTTTCCCTCAGGGTTATAATGAATATTCACGGAAATGTTTTACTGCTCAACACCTGGGAACTCCTGGAATGATTCATTTGTTTTCCTTGTTGTTATGTCTATCCTCGAAGCAGAAAGAATGTGAAGGCTGCCAGTTCCTTGCAGGCCCAGGGAGAACAAAGGTGAACACCTCAAAGGTTCACCGAATAACAAACCGCAGAGGAAAAATTCTTTACAAATCATAAGCCTGAGCAGATAAGGAAGCCAAGGGAAGAGAGGCAGGCAGTCCAGAGTAAGTAGGAACCATCCTGGGACCAGCAGCGGGGTAGAAGAGGTTGGAGCCGGCCGAGGCCCCCAGCCAAGTCTCCCAAGGGCATAGCTGCCCTTAGGTGTCCCAGCCGGTAAATCCCATGGCCCGACGGGCACTGAAGACGAAGAAAGAAGCTCCTGTCCTCTGGACACCTCCTGGGGGTCTCATCTCATGATTTCCTGAGCATAACCCCATGAGATGGGGATAATGAGGCTCAGAGAGGTGACGTAACTTGCCATATGTCACACAGCTGGGCTGGGACTTGAACTCACGACCACGTGACCTCGGACCCGGGCTCCTTTTCTATCCTCTGCCACCATCCTGGCAGGGCATGCTGCACACACTTCCCTTCTTTTCAGTGTCCTTGTTTCCTAACTGCCCCCTCCTTCTTCTATCGCTGCCCTGGCTGCAGGGGATGGGGGCAGAGGTGGACATTTGAGCCATCTCTGGCGATACATTCAGTCTTACAGGCCAAGATAAAAATCAGAGCAGAATTCCTCAGGGGGGCTGGGGGGATGAGGGGATGAGGGGATGAGGGAATGGGGGGAGTGGAAGGAGATTTCACAAATGAGAGCCCCTACGTCTAAGCACTAGGAAAATAGGGAATCAGGAAAGCCTTGGGAAGTGGGAGCCGAGCCCTCATCTGAGCCCAGCACTCCCCTCTGGGCTGTTTCAGGAGTCAGGGGCCACGCCATCCCATGTTCATGGACTGAGGATGGTTCTTTCTTCTGAGTCTAGGGGAACAGGCTCGGGCAGGCCGAGCAGTTGGCCCCACTCCTCCAGCCCTCGGCACACCAGTGGGGCAGGGTGGGGGCAGCACGGGGTATTGCGGCCAGCCCCGCAGACCGGGACCGTTGCCCCGGTTCCGCCGCCCCGGTTCCGCCTCTTTCACGCGGGGTCTCTGGGGGCAAGTTATTTATGCTCTCTGAGCCTCTGTCTCTTATTCTGTAAGAAGGGGGTAATGGTAACAGCTACCTTGTGCAGGAGTTAATGAAGATTTGGTGACACACCAGTAAAGCCCCTGGCACAGAGTAGGTGTTCAATTAAAGAGGAAAAGGGAGCTTCCTGAAAGAGCTCTGTGGGCAAGGGAAATGCTGGCCTGAGCCCTCATAGCTCCCTCCGAGTTTTACACGCCCCTGGGGCTCTCTGGAAGAGGCAGTAGAGTGCCCCCTTCCCTCTTTGACCTGAATGTGGGCAAAGAAAACCCCAAGCCCTTTCAATTCCACCTGCAGCCCCTGCTAAAAACTACAAAGAAGCCCAAAGGGAAATAAACCAAAGAAAACCAAAAGCTCTCAGTTGGTCATGTTCACGGAGGTCTTATCTCTGACCCTCTCGGGAGACCCTGTTCCATCCTCCCCCCGACGAGGGGTCAGCAGTGGCGGGGACAGGTGCGGCAGGCTGGAAGCAGTCCCAGGCAGCCCTCCCGGGGGGTGGGCTGGGTGGCAGTGGGCAGCCCAGCACAGAGGTTCTCCCTCCCGCCCCCGCCCCTCTTCTAGCCGGCAGGGTGCGCCCTAGGATGCACGGCTGGGCCCAAGCTGGCCTCCAGAGGACAGTGGCAGCCCCCCCCCCCCATCCAGGTCTGTGACCTTTCCCTCATTCCTGTCCACCACCTCTGGCCTTGCCGGGCTTCCTGAGACAACAACAGCTGCTTCCTAAGCCAAAGCCCAGAACCCCATTCGTGTCCCAGCCCCTCCCCAGGGGGGTCAGGCCTGAGTCTTTTGTCCTCACTGGCGCCAAGAAAGAAGGAAATAGCAGCCCCCCTTTCCTGCCCCCGGGTGTAAGAGAATAAGGTGGAGGCCTCTCAATAAACAGCAGGAGGAGGGGGGTGGACACAAGGGGGGCTTCTGCGGCCTGAGCCCATGAGTCCGCAGCCCTCGCAGAGACCCTCAGGATCCAGCTCTGACAGTCTCTGCTTCTAAGATGGGGAGCGGAAGAGGGCGCTGGGCCTGGGGAAGACCCCCGCCTGGTACCTGCTGGGCCGTCAGGGTGAGGAGGGGTACCCTGAAGGGCTGGTCTCAGGGCTCACACAGATTCCCCAGAGACGGGAAGTGAGCCCTGCCTGGAGCTCAGAGACAAACAGGTAGGGAGATGCAGAGACAGGGCCCGGGAGTCCTGATGCCCAGCCCCACCGCCATCCGAGCTGGGGCTTCGGGCTGGCTGCCTTTCTTACCAAGTGTGAGAGTTGGACCTTCTCGTTCCTCTGTGTCTCTGCGTCCAGTTGAGCTGAAAGAGACCAGCAGGCATACCCTGAGGCCAGGAGCAGCCTGTGACAGCTCCCACAGAGGTGGACGGGCCCCCCTGTGCTTGGGAGCAGGGGCCTCCCAGAGGGAGCAAGCAGACTGGTTGGGCAGGAAGACTGCTTGGACTTTCAGCTCAGTCCCTTAGCAGTGATCCAGCCTTTTGGGATGGGTACACGGAAATCCCCTGGTGTGGCCCAGAAACCAGCCGGGGAAATAATTCTATGTGCTAAGTACATTGCTTCTTCAACCTCAGGGTGCATCCAGGATCCCAGGACATTTTATGAAAATGCCCATTCTAATGCAGCAGGTCGGGGCTGGGGCCTGAGAGTCCTTTTAACAGGCTTCCAGGGGATGTCATGGCTGCTACCTGGGGACCACAGTTCGAGAGGCAAGGTGCTAAGAAGTTCTGAGGTCTTGATCAGGAATGTTCCCACCCTGTGTGCTCCTCCGGACTCCTCTGCGGTGAGCTGGGGACGTGGGCCAAGCTGACATTTCTTCCTGGGGGCCGCACACGGTGAAGTTGGAGGCAGGCCCAGGACCACCGCCCCCCACCCAAGGCCACGTGCAGTAGGACAACATTGCCAATTTGCAGAGTGCTTTGGCACACATCTTCCTGGTTCTGCTGCTTCCTGGCTGTGCAAACTCAGGGCAAGCTGCTTAACCACTCTGCCTCAGTTTCTTCCCCTGTAAAATGGGGGGTGCTTGTAATGAGCAGTTTCTAACGCCACAGTATTGAGAGCATTAAAGGAGATAAAAGCAACAAAGCCACACAGAAACTCGCAGCCCATGGCAGCTCCTCTGACCGATATTTCGGCCAACCCTCTTAACCCATGGTGTCTGCCCGGGGGGGCCCCCCCGAGCCGCATACCACCATTGACACCGGAAGCATGACTGCTCCGAATCACGCCAGGTTTTGAAGACTCAATATGAAAAAATGCAGAATGCAGGGGCGCCTGGGTGGCTCAGTCGTTAAGCGTCTGCCTTCAGCTCGGGTCATGATCCCAGGGTCCTGGGTTCGAGCCCCACATCAGGCTCCCTGCTCAATGGGAAGCCTGCTTCTCCCTCTCCCACTCCCCCTGCTTGTGTTCCCTCTCTCGCTGTGTCTCTCTCTCTGTCAAATAAATAAATAAAATCTTTAAA